AAACCATTTCAGGTGACTACCTCTTGAAGCTCATGGAGAGAATGCCAAGAGTGTGCAAAGCAGTAATCAGAGCAAAGGGTGGCTATTTTGAAGAAACTAGAATATAAAACATGTTTTCAGTTATTTCACCTTTTTTTGTTAAGTACATAACTCCACATGTGTTCATTCATAGTTTTGATGCCTTCAGTGAGAATCTACAATGTAAATAGTCATGAAAATAAAGAAAACGCATTGAATGAGAAGGTGTGTCCAAACTTTTGGCCTGTACTGTAATTTAAAAATACTGTGACTTAACTTAATCATAAAATAAAAAGAGCTGACATGACATCGTCATAGCATATATCACAATTAATAATCGCCACAACAGAATGAACTTTGTATGTTTCTGACTTTTATGATTATATTTATCTCATGTTGTAAAATGTCAACAACTTTTTCTTCCTGGATTGGCTCAGGGGAAGGTGTCAAATACTTTCAAGTCAAAAGACACAAGTCCAAGTGAAGTCCTGAGTAATACTGTTAGTATTTAAGGCCGACAAGTTGCAGGTCTTTTCTGATTCTGTAAAGTCGAGTCTAAAGTCATCAAATTTGTGACTCGAGTCTGACTCGAGTCCAAGTTGTGTGACTCGAGTTTGCACCTCTGCTAAGGACATAATGAAACTTTGCAGGTCATTAAAAATGTTTCCTTAATACATTAATAAAAACATGTATTTGAGGGGAAAAGGTTGACCCATGACCTACTCTCCTTCTCTATCACTCAAAATCTTCTTAAGTCCACTAACGGTCACACTTAAAAAACAGCTAAATAATCAATTTGCTTATAGAGGATGGAAAATGACTTAAGAATAAATACATAAATAAATACATAAATAAATAATCAAATAAATATGATATAAATAAGTAACAAATAAATACAATATAAATAGGTAAATGAACAAATCAATAAAAGAACAAAAGAATAAATAAATAAGTGAATGAATGAATAAATAAAAATATAGAAAATAAATAAATAAATGCATAAATAAATGTTTAAAATTAGATAATTAAAAAAGGACATAAATTAATAGATAAATTCTTTCGATCTATTTCTACATTTTTTTTCCATCCGCATTTATTTATTTCTGTATTTCTGTGTCTGTATGCTAATGAGATAGGAAGTTTTAACCTCAGTCTAAATGTAGACATACATTTAAAGTATTTATTTATCTATGCATTTTTTTCCTTTACATATTTAATGTTTTAAGATGTTGTTTTTTTAAAAATGTATTTATGTATGTATTCAATACTTTTATTCATTTACTTATTTATTTGTGCATTATTTAATTTCTGTATGTTAGCGTTATTTATTAAATTTATATTTGTATGAACTCATTTGAATATTTATTTATTTAATTCTTTACATATTTAATGCTTTATGGATTTTAAAAACATATGCATGTGTTCAATATTTTTTATTATTTTTCATTTATTTGTGCATTATTTAATGTCTATTATTTTAGCATTATTTATTCCAATATATTTATATGTATTAACTTATTTCAATATTTATTTATTCATTTTTAAAGCCTTTACATGTTTAATGTTTTATGAATTTTTTAAAAAAAGAAATTATGTATGTTTAATATTTTTATTCTTTTACTTATTTACTTATGCATTTTTTTAATTTCTGTATTATTTTAGCATTATTTATTGAAATATATTTATATGTATTAACGCATTTGAATATGTATTTATCTATTTTTAAATTCTTTACATGTTTAATGTTTTATGGATTTAAAAATAATCTGTATTTCAATAATTTTTATTCTTTTACTCACTTATTTTTATTCCTGTATTGTTTCAGCATTATTTATTAAAATGTATATTTGTATTAACTTATTTGAATATTTATTTATTTAATTCTTTATATATTTAATTCTTCATGGATTTTAAAAACATATGAAAGTTTTCAATATTTGTATTATTTTACTCATTTATTTGTGCATTATTTAATTCTTATTTTTATTTTTATTCCTGTATTGTTTCAGCATTATTTATTAAAATGTATATTTGTATTAACTTATTTCAATATTCATTTATTTATTGATATTTAAGAAATTTTTCAATTTTTTTCCTTCATTTTTGCAGTCATGTTGTGAGGTGTAATAAACAGCATGGCCTCTAGGGAGGCTGTAGACTTATAGTTGTTTGGGTACAACTGGCCCACATTGTGGAAAGTGTTTATTTAAACCTGTTGTGTCTCAGATAGATCAAAGAGCTGGCAGCTAGGACATGATGCAGCATCTAAGGTGTGTGTCTGACAACATCTAGTGAGGAACAGAACGAGAAAAGAAGCTGGAAAACAGAACTAGATACAAAAAGAGATAGATATTGTTGGTGTTGAGGCGTAGTCTAGGCATGTGGTGTCCTCACTGATTAAATTAAGTGTAGATCTGCAGTTCAGTAAGTTTTCTGTGAGCAGACTCGACTGTGCAGACGTGAAACACACAGCGCTCATACTGCATGGCCTCTGAAATATGAAGCGGTGCAGTCAACTGTCAGCCGTGTTTACGTTGGTGGTTTCCTAGCCTACAGAGGAAACAGTCAGTGAGTCACACTTGTATGCTGACAGACTGGAGCTGTTATGTAAAGTCCCGAGAATGCAGGTGTGAACGCAGCGAGCCGGTCGCTGTGAGGGAAGGTGCAGGGAAAGACGTATGAGCCTATAACCAAATCAGATGGTGATATGTGTGAAGTCATTACAATCCCCAGAGTGAGGCTGCTTATCGTCTAATCAGCAGCATCTCCATCACACCTCCGACACTACACCTGTTCTGTTGGTGAGTCACCAGTGTGCCACAAAGACGTGAACACGGGGTTGGAGTAACCCACATTATGCAAATTCCAGTACAAATCAGGAAGATCAGATCAGGAAGATTAAAAACATATTTTCATGCTGACGGAGAAGCATTTGGATAATGACTTGCTTTGATGCTGAACTGCAGTGACAAGAGGAGAAACTGAGATCATGATGTCGCCTCAGGCTCAACACAGGGGGCCATGAGGGGGCATCACCTCCCCCACATGCACCCTGTGTTTGTATCTGGGAGGGCAGTGTGGTCCAAATCCTGCTGTTCACACCGTCACATGCAAAACCTCACAAAGGTCGGCTGATGTCATGTTGTGACTGTTTACATTTCTTGTGGGAGAGTTGTGTTGTGTTCAAGTTTTCATGCCATCTGTCTCATGAGCCTGGTCCAAGCCACCGCTCCGACTTACAGCTGTTCCTGCTGAAGTGATGAAAACCTGGGGGTCTGTCACAGAGAGGGCCAGTTTGTGTTCCTGCCAGTGGTGGAAGAAATATTCACATCTTTCAGTGAAGTAAACGCAGCAATACCACAGTGAACCACAATGAATCTTCATTTATGAGTGGACAGATTTGGGATCTACTGACAGTACTAGTGAGGCTGGTTTTTTTAAAACAAATTAATAATGCCACCTGCTGGTGAAAAGATAAAACTACACACCAGGCAGGGATCTAGTTTTACCTGGTTATTGTCTTCCCCATAAAATAAAATAAAATAAAATAAATCAAATAAAGTAAAATCAAATAAAATCAAATCAAATAATAATCTCAGTGGGCGCTCTTAAAGATTCATTAAGGATAAGGGTAGAGTCCATGACCAGAATCAGAATTACAAGAATTAATATAAGTTTGATTACTGTGGGGTAAAATTACATTTTGGCACACAAGTATTTTATTCTAGATTTAGAAATTATTAGTCAATAAATCAATTACTCAATCAAACATAAAATTAATTATCAACTGTTAAGGTCTCCTGTTGTGTGCCGAAACCAAGCGGAACTACTTTGATAAATGCTTCATGTTTTCAAGCAAACTATGTTATTAGCTGATTTTCCCTCTTTAATTCTGAGGATTTTGAATTTTTGTAAAAGACTAGATAAATATATTTGAGTTTTGGACTGTTGATCAGATAAAACAAGTTACTTGAATATGTCACCTTTGGCTCTGGGGAATTGTGATGGGCATGTTTCCCACAATTATGTTAGAATCTTTGACACTATGACATTTTATTGACAGTGCTTAAATTCTTCCAGTTCTTGTTCTTCCATTTCTAGTTCTTCTTCTAGTTCTAGTTCTTCCTTTTCTAGTTCTTCTTCTTCCAGTTCTTCTTCTACTTCTTCTAGTTCTTCTTCTTCTA